AGCAGACCTTAACTTACGCATATTTTGAAAAACTACGTTTTAACTTCGGAGCTGTTGAAGCCTTATCCAAAGATCGCAGAAAACTCGGTCCCACTTTGCAAAGTGATTTGGAAGCACAGCACAGCTTCACGCATCATAGTAAGACATCATCGAAAGACTTGGCAACGGACAGTGAGAGTGAGTAGCATTCGAAGGAGCAGGGGGAGAGGGTATAGCATAGCATAGACTTGTATAGCATAGCACAGCAAGGAGGAGGTGAAAATGAGGTGGGTGCGTGGAGGGTAGGAGAGAATAAAGCATAGCCATCAATTGTATAGTAAGGCAAGGGACGAAAATGGGAAGTGTGATGAAGAATAAGGGAGTGAGGAGAAGGTAAGACATAGTATAGCCTTGTATAATAAAGCACAGCAAGGGGGTGGCGAAAATGAAGTGGGTGTGTGGAGGAGAGGAGAGAGTAAAGCTTAGTATAGCCATCATTGGGTAGGATGGCAAGTAATGGAAATGGGAAGTGTGATTCAGCAGGAGTGAGTTGGGGTGAGAAGAATAAGTAAGTGAGGAGAGGGATAGCATACAAAGCCTTGTATAGTAAGGCATGACAAGAGGAAGAGAGTAAAGCATAACACAGCCATTACTTCTACAGTATGGCAAGGGATGGAAATGGCAAGTATGATTGAGCAGGAGTGATGTGCAGGTGAGAAGATTAAGCAGGTGAGGAGAGTGGAAAGCATAGCATAGCCTTGTACAGTAAAGCATGGCAAGGGGGAGGTGAAAAGGAGTGGGGGCGTGGAGGAGAAAGGAGAGTAAAGTATAACATAGCCATCACTTGCATAGTATGAAAAGGGATGGATATGGGAAGCGTGGTTGAGTAGGAGTGAGGGGGGGTGGGAAGAAAAACGAGGTGATGAGAAGGTAAAGCATAGCATGACCACGCGTCTATAGTACAGATAGGTGGTGGGAAAGGAAACTGAGGATGAGGCCGAGTGTTGTGATGCTGAGGAGGGAAAAGAGGAGAGGTGAAATAGGGAATATGCTAAATATTAGTAAAGCCACGTACAGTATATATATATATATATATATATATATATATATATATATATATATTAAAGCAAGCAGCGCGAAAGGAAAGAGAGATTAAGGAGGAACTTTGTAAGGGTGTGAGGGAGGAAAAGGAAAAGCAAGGGTATAACATTGTTTTTGGGAGGCAAGTGGAGATGCGGGACGAGTTAAAGCCTGCAGACAAGCTAGGGAAGCCACAAACTCCATTGCTTTTCGAGTATTTTATCTAAAAGTGCGTAGCTGCAGCAATTTTCGGCTAATTGCTACGTTCGTGGCAAAACGGAATCTCTTATATAGTTAGGCGTTGCTTCGTTGAGTGAAAAATGTTTCCATTGAAGTATTATGTGTTTTGAATACATAATGAAATGGTTAAAACGTTGAATCAGGAGGTTACGTCAGAGGAGATGAAAGCTAAGTTCGAAAGAAGTGATACACTGCTGTCGCACTTGCGTTACTGAAAGTTCTTGTGGTGCAGACGAGCTTGCAGCAATGAGAAAGCAATAACGTATTCACATAAAATTAAACATTTCTCACCACCAGTGAGTCGGAGGACTCCTTCAAAAACAGAAAATATGTAGGGAAGATTACAAATTAAACAACTATTGCCCGGCGGCAGATTGCTGCACACTACTTACACTGGTATAACCGTGCTTAGTGTTTCCCATTAGTGGAAGGGGCCAGGACAAAGTCCCACTGCAATCTGCCCCCCCCCCCTCCTCAAGTTGGGTGAACTCAGACTAAAATAGCACCGAAGTAGATGTATATGTGCCAACGACTCAATGACGTGCTTCGTACAACGGCTTTCCTTTGCTCTTTGGTTTTTCGAGGTTAAAAATCTGCAACTACTAGCCGTTGGAATGCGACATTTTGTCGAAAACCAGAAGGCCACAACTTTGCACGTTAAAAAATTAAGGAACCGGTATGACTGAGTAAAGAAATGGGGTGGGCTTGCGCGTCCCCCCTGCCCCCATCTCATCGGATGTTTGGGGGAGGGGGGCTCCTCTTTCTGCCTTTTCGTGCGCACGCCCATGGACGCCACAGAGCCCAAGTTTCTTTGGGAATAATACGTGCGCCTGACCATAGTGCGAGCAAGAATTGGTCCTTATGACTACTTGCTCGAATGAGAGAAAAAAAATCTGGCAAAACCGAGTTTTAAAAAAAAACATTGTTAGCTGCTTTTACACCCTTACCACACATTATTGCAAACTATTCGGCTTATTCGATCACGCCCGTTTTTAACAAGCGAGATCGTTCGATCTTTAAAATATAGGTAATTCTGAAACGATAGCTTATGGAGTATTTTGAGGCCATTTTGGAGGCTACTGGTGTAACAATGGTCGAACAAGACATGTACCTTTTAGATAGAACGTATTCGTGCCCACATAATTTTTTCATGAGAGTAAAACGTTGCTGCTGTTATCAAATATTGGCAAGTTGCGTGCTTGGCTTTCGTCTGTCATGGACATCGTAATACTCCATATCTAGAAAATTTCGGCCTGGTATGGATGACAGGCATCCTGCATTTCTGTTTCTTCATCATGCGCTCCACATTAAGATGCTCTACTGAGCCATTAAAGAATGTTTTTTTATATTACTCGAAGTAAGGTTTCCTTGGATTTTCGGTCCTGCGGTGCCCTTGCGAGAATCTAAGAGACTCACAGGCACTTTTTCAAATAGTCACTCGATGAACTCTATTGAAGGATCTATTTGCTGACGAATTAACTGCCAAAATGAAATTTTTAAGTCATAAAATCCTAGCGTAGTTTTCCATCGCTTTTCACAAGCTTTCATAAATTTCTGTTTGCTTACCAGCGAGTGCACTGAACGGTACACTGGAGTGATTCACGAGTGGGTAAACACGTTACCATTTGTGGGACAGTGTGTGTCATATCGTCCAGCAGTTTCTATTTTTGTTTACTGTGAATGCGCAGCTCACTTTCGCAGTGATGACAAACGCACTCTTGCAGTCCTATAGTTTATTTTTCGCGCTGTAGAGCGCGGCGAGGACAGACCATGGCAGCAGCACCAACTGCCTATATGCAGCTCCCAATGAAACAAGTCGGCCAATAGCCGTGTCCGTGTGCTTTAGGGTATATATGACGCAGGTAATTTGGGGTATATGAAATCATTAGTACAGCGGTTTTCTTAATCATTTTGTGGAGCATTTTCTGTGTGATTTCGATCATTCATTTGAAATTTTAGGTCACGTGCTGCACTGTAATTTTTGGCTCGCGTGTTTTTAGGCGCCTCTACTACCCATCCTGACCATTAAAGAAATGTGCTGCAAGAGCCGTTTCATATTGCTAAGGTACGAGTTTGGATATGTTTGGTCTACCTGATGCTAGTGTTGTGGCGTCCGCATTGTCCAGGGTAATTTTAGGCCACGGAAAAGTAATAAGCCTTCTCAGGTCGGCCACTTAGAGTAGATGGACACGTTTAACAATAAAAATTGGTATTACCATTGAAACGTAAAGATCCCTACTGAAACGTTCTGTATGCGATGTCCAACACTTCCGTATGTTTCCGTAAGAATCTTACGGAAATATATGGGAAATATGTGAAAAATATACGGAAAACATAAGGACTCCGTATGAAAACATATGGAATTATTGAACTCGAATGCGGAACGTTTCAGCAGAGATGCATGAACCTCGTGGAGGGAAGCAAAAAAATCACAGCATATCGACGGAGTGAATGATGATTGGTGGGGCACAGCGTTCGTCAGTCTGTCTGTCCATTCGTTCTTGCGTCCGCCTATCTGCGTGATCCTTGGTGCATCTGTCCGTTTGTTCATTCGTCTGTCTGTCCGTCCATCTCTTCTTGCGGCCACCCCTCTGTCTGTCCATCCGTTCGTGTGCCCCTCTGTCTGTCCGTCCGTGCGTGTGTCAGTCCGTTCGTCCATCCATATGTCTAGAGAAAACTCCAAGCACAACCATCTCACATCTTCTCATCATGTATTCATCATATACAAGTGCGCTCCCCATCCAGCAGGCATTGTAAGGACCGCTATTTCGAGTATGTGCCACTGGTGGTTACGTACTACGAGGGACGCACAAGCCACGCCATAAGGAGCTTCGCCCCTAAAAATGGCCCCGTATCTGCATGTTACACTGAAAATATCATCAAAAGATGATATTCTTGCGTATGAAAAGAGTCAACAAAACGCTTATTTGATGTTCTGTGCAAGAAAATTGGTGAATGGCGTTTTGGAGGCGCTGCATCAGAGTGCCTCGAGCATGCAGCGCAGGCGCACGAGCGCATCGAGTTATGTCACATGTGAGGCATGAGCGCTATTTGGCAGTTATCTCGGAAAACGAAGTGCGCAGCGTGCGCGCCCGTCTTGGAGGCGATAAGCTGTAAAACCGAAGGTGACGGGTATGTGCCGCCACCATGTCGTCTTAGCAAAACGTTGGAAACACTTGCCTTTTTGAGCATCAGGTTGCACTGTGAGCACATCATGACAAAAGCTAAGGTGCTTAGAATTACTTATGTGTGCCTTCTCTAGTACGAAGCCACACATAGAAAATATCAACGTGTTGCTATGGTGCCTCACATATGCTCAATAATTGCTTACGAATAGACAGTAACACAGTATGAACGCTAAAACTTGAGAAATATTGGTGAGCACTGCGGATGGGGTCCGTCGTTTGGGGTATCGTTTGGTGTCGTTTGGGGTACTGTTAGGGGTGGACAAGCAGACAAAAGTACAGACAGACAGACAGAGAGACAGACAGACAGACAGACAGACAGACAGACCAAAACTTTTTCGTCAAAGGTCCCCAAAAATTTTATCGTCTTTAAAAAAGCGAGCATGTTATGTTACATAGAATCTGGTGAGGTCACCAGGGCGTTTGTCTCATGTCGTCAGGTGCGCATGTGGGGGGGGGGCGATATCAACATTCTGACAGGCGGTCGCTACCGTGTGAAGATGGATGCTCTTTCTTTCACCGAACAATGCACTTTCGACAAAAGTAATACCGCACCTCACGGCGCGAACGTCCTTGATGGAAACGCTCACGTTCGCAGACGACATCGTCACCAGACCAGCCGCCATCTTTGCAGGTCCTGGAACGACGACCCTTGAGATTGAAGCCTTTCTCGCAGTGGATTAAACAGGTGTCGTTCAGCTCCCAGGGTGCCTTGCAGCCGGTGTAGCCGCCGTTTTCTGGCGCAGGAAACGTGTCACAGGTCTTCACTGAAAGGTGTTAGTACAAAAGAAGGGCATATTCTGTAAGGGCCCATCTACATCCTATCCGCAGAGATGCACCAGGCGTGGCCGGACCCCTGCTGCACGCAAGCGAGAAACGAAAAAGCGTATCGGCGACACGCTCTTTCGTCCTCCGCTTGCATGCGGCAGGTGTCCCACCACGTATGGTGCGGCTGTGCACATAGCGCGTGGAATGGCTCTAAAGACAAAACTGAAGGCCGTGGTCGGTATTCTCTGAAAATGCAAGATGAGTTCACAAGAACAATGAATGCGTTGCAAAATAATAACTTTCGTATTATTAGATTTGATGTGATAGAATCGCGTCATACATTAAAGCGAAAACGTTTTTTTCGTAAAGATTGTATTTTCGGGCCACTAGCAATTTTATAATTACCCCAGAGATGTGAGCCTGGTTCGTCACGTCGCTTGCTGCTACAGGTGTCAGGTATTGACTACGGTATTTACAGTGATTCCACATATGCACAACTGTCGCGCAAAGGAAAATGAAAATGGGGCACAATCATAGGGCTTAGTAGAAGTTACGAAAGTTTACACGAGTGAACGTGTCATTTAGAGACTTAGCACGAACATCAAGATGCCTACAGATATAACGGTCGCCCTTTCAGGAAGGAAACGAGAGAAGAGGGAAAGAGGCACGAATGTGTCTAAATATAGTGACACCTGAAACATCACTGGACCTACTTTTTCGTTTGGTATTGTACGAAGATCTTCAGCCCTTATTGTTGAAGTCGTAACCTATCAGGGCCGTAAGAAACGTTTGAAACCGTACTGTAGGAGCTTTACGCTGACATTCCGGACAATGATTTGAAACGCTGTGACTTATGGGGAAAATATAATTTGGGCAACTTCTCCCTAGTTGTTCCAAATCTGAAGGAATTTTGGAGCTGGGCATCCTTCTTTTATCTCACCAGTTTTCTCTTTATTTCTTTCTACCTTTGGTTGTTTCTTTTTTCATTTTTTTGTTTTTTTCTTTTCTATTTTTCTTCCTGTTTTCATCGTCTTTCTCTCTCACTCTATATTTCTCGCTTGCTATGCGTTTCAATTTTAGTTCGTTGTTTGTGTTCTCCCTAGTCATAGTTGTAATGACCGCAGTTAGTACCATCATGAAGGCGCTGCAGTAACAAAAGGAGAAAGGCTTCTTTCTCTTCGGCGTGAGCACGCACTCCTCATGCTACAGATGGCTATCCCCTATTCGGTTTTGCATGCGTTACGCCAGGTGATAACGACAGCATGTGACAGCCTGGACCCCTAAAGTGTTCAGCACCTGAACCTCGAGAGCATTCTACCAGCTAGCCTGCATCGCGGCTTTACTTTGTAGAACTAAAGCAGTATAGTGAGTTCTTTCATTGCTCCCTAGAGGGCAGAAGGCGTTTTTGCATACTGACAGATACGTGAAGAAATCAAAGTGTGCCAAATACAGCTCCCATAAAAAAAAGTCAATTTTCTTTGCGCATTCGCCTAAGGTGACTTGAAAGCGAAGGCCATCTTCTTTATTTTTGCGGCTTACAGTGCAAGACCACAGGCATAGACTAACCCCCGTATTCTAGAACATTCCTTCACTCAACGCACCTTCAATTGAGAAAGCCGATGGGAGCGCAGTCTCTAGGCAGGGCAAGTCACTGTATATCAGCGATAATCCATTGCGATTCTTGAGTAGCGCAGCGTCATTTTCAGCCGATAAGTTGCGCAGTGCTCAACTCTGTCAAGTGAAGGGTGAAAGTCGAGTCGAGGAGCGTTTGTGAATACGGGGGTTCATGTAGACACGGCAGAGCACTGCCGAGTCATAAAGTGTTCTGTTTATATAATACAGCGCTGTGCCATGTCAACTTTTAGTCACACTGTTTGCAACAATGAATCTGCACCACCTCGACCACTTTTCAATCTTACTTTCTTTTTCTTCTCAGCCGATGTATACTGATCCTCCAACGCCCCCCAGGAAAGCTTTTTACAGATGACGTGTTTTTCCACTGCCTCTAGAATGGGATGCATTACAAGCTTCCAGCGTTGCTCCTAGCCATTCACCCGATTTGAAGCCGAGCGACGACGTCATATGATACCACCATCATGTGCCATCATGCTATGGGCGCTCATGATGACGGGACAGGTTTTTGCGATCTCTGACACTATGGTGGCGTCACACGTGCAGAATCACTGGCAAGCGCAGGATTGGGGGGTATCTTTACGTGGCCCAATCTCTCGGTGGCAGCAACGGTGTCCTGGCGTAACTGAATGACAAATCGGAGAGAAAAATAATATATTTGAAGATAAGCTAGTAATCAAAACTACTCCTGAATCTATAGTGCTGAGACCTACATTTTGGTAACATTTCAGTATCGAAGTACAAAGCCTGTGGCTTACCCTTATAATTGAAAATTGCATATTAGGAATACACGGGGCCCCCTCGTCAAACATCAAATACTCTGGAAAGCCATGCGGAGTCAATTTTGATAGCTAGCTCAATTCAAAAGATATAAAGTTTTCGCCAGTTAACGGCAGGCTGCCGCTATCACCGACGAGAGATGGCGCTACGTTCAAGTGCCCCTTGAATCCTGGTTATAATGATTATTTTCCTCGATCGGTCTGACGCCACCGACGTGAGACACTAATGCCACAGACGGCGAGTTTCCATGTTTGATGAGATACTTAATAAAGTTTTTTTTTCATTCCATTCCATTCTATGAGATACTTAAGGCTTTCGCCTTAAATAAGAAATAAATGAGATCACAGACCTAAACACGCGGTCGTGTTTCCACTCCAAGTGCCGTCGCCCTGGCAGGTCCTGATGTCGGTGTCATACTCGCCACTCTGCAATCTGTACCCTTCGTGGCACACGAGTAAGCATTCGCCCATGTACGAGGTGTCGCGTTTCTCCTCCAGGTAGCCGTGCTCGGGAGCCTGGAGGAGAGGGCAGGAGAGCGCTGCGAATGGTGGAACGGGTGAGAAGCACTGCAAGCGTCAGTCCCTATGGCCACCCGCGATCGGAGGCCTCCACTACGACAGGCCTTCTCTGACTAAAGGGCTCTCACCGCCCTTAGCAAGCCTCACCAGTGTTCATTGCTGCAGCTCTCTTGCAGGGCGGTATGACTTTCATAGGGGTAGGCCTCCAGACTTGCAGACCATTTTCATTAGGGCAGACCTCCGTCATTATCTTTGTAAATTGTTAAAATGAAACAACGTATATAAGTGAAGAACATGCTGAGCTTCTTATCACAGGGGCGCTGCCTCGTGACAGTTTTTTTTGTTTGTTTGAAAAGCTGGTGCATGCATTACATGGTCCAGGCACGTTTTTGAGCATGTCCGAAAGACACCAGTACTGTTACAAACGCAGAAACAGATAAGGATTTGTCATGTGGTATTTGAAAAAGCGAACGATTTGTCTAGAAGTATATAGTTTTTGGTGGGCTGGTTGGTACATAATAGTGACGCTCTTTCTTTGTGTTTCTTTGCTATGCCTGTGGTGTTCTAAGCGCCAAAATATTTCCCTGTTTAAGAATAATTTCTCAATCATGAGGACACAGATTCTAATAAACTTTCTGTTGGTGAGATTTTTGAAAGTAGACTGAGTTACTGCAGATGTTAGAATATTTTTAGGGTGGGAACCAAAAAATAATGCGTCAAGAAATGAATGTATGCGCAGTCATCCCCAAATGTTTACGGAACGCAGGTTCCACTGAAAATGCGAATATCTGCTCAATCAATGCACGGCGCTTCTAGCTTATGAGGTATAGGTCGCAGGCACCATGCCATGCAGGGACATTTATGTCGCGACTATGTTCTCACGTAACTCGGGAATATGTACGGCTTTGTAAGATACATCATTTGTAGGAAGTTAGAGCAGTGTGCGCTTTGTACCTCAGTGTCTTGGGACTTTTGTCCCTTCTGCGTGTTCTACATGTGTTCAGATGGAATACCAGCATGCCCAAGCTCCCGTTCTTTCATTGACTGTAGGCACTTGTAGAATGAGAATGGAGAACAAGTGTTCTTGGCAGAAGTTCCTATTCTATGGGGGTTTCTCATGTAGCATGGGGTAACGCTGGAAGTCAAAGCAGCCAAGTAGTGCGCTCACGGACACAAGTCTTTCCACTCGCCGGGTCACCGACGTAGCCTGTCTTGCACTTGCAGTCCTTAATCGAACGGCTTCCCTCGTTTCTTATCTCGCTGTTCGCAGGGCACGCCTGGCAACGCTCGTCGAAGTTGGTCTCCTTGTAGGTGTTTGGCTTCCAGGCTGTCTTGGAAGATAAGAATAATTTGCGAGCCATTTCCTTTGGCGAAGTGGATGACTTTGCGAAGCTGTGTCGCACGTACGCGTGAAAACCTGACCCCACGTATCCATCGCAGCGCGTCAGCACGAGGCTTCATTGATGACGTACAAAAAAGCACTTGTGAATATCGCTACTATAAGTGGCCTCTTTCGAATAATGTAGAAGATGTCTATACCATACCGTGCGAGGGCAACTCTATCTAACATACACTGGTAATGGAAAGAACCCTGCACATTCAATGAATTCACACGAACTGATTATGGTTTATCATATTTGCGCTCTTCGCCGAACAATCCGTTGTTCGCCCATTCCCATATTCCCGCGGCTGGGAGGTGACGTTATTGATTAAATATTTGTTCCATTTATTCATTCATTTAATTTCTTTCTCTCTTTGTTTTTGTTTTTAATGGTGAAGCCATATGAGCCAAGGAGCAAACTGGCAGTCCGCGAGCGAAATCCACTCTCCACTAGAAGGTGCGAGTTCACAACCAATAGCGAACAAGCCCAAAATGGACACAGAAAGGGAGGAAGTCGAAACTTCGGTTTCCCTAGCATAGAAACTAAACTCCCTCCACCTGGGAAACCCCGTCCTTCAATTACCGCTATTTGCCGTGCGTTGCCTGGCGAATATGCGCGACCTTAAGGCTAATTGTATACGTATTCGTCGCAGCACGTCAGCGCGAGGCTTTTCGACGCGGTGCGCCACACCCTTTCTCTATAGAAAGCCAAGGCAACGCATGGTGGCGTCGCGGCTCAGGACAAGAAGCGCGCTCTGCGTTTGAGTCACGTCACAAAGTACCGCCTGCAGTGCGGCTCCAAAAAAGATCTCTGAGCTGGACAAACACTTCCGAGAAGCGAATCGAACGAAAGGAGTAAAGCTTATTAGTCAAGTGTATGATGTGGAGCAGACGACGCAAGAGGAGGACCCCCGAGTCGCTGCGTAATGCATTTATCTGGTCTTTTGCGGTACATATTACAAAGATGGCGTATCTTTGCCAAAAAACGCACTGCAAATACCGTTATTCAAAGGATGGGTTTCCGCAGGTGGAGGGAGCATAGTTTCTAGGCTATAGGGCAACCGAAGTTTCGCTTTCTCTCTTTATGTGTCGTTTTTGGGCTTGTTCTTTATTGGTTGTGAACTCGCACTTTCTAGTGGAGAGCTGATTTCGCCCGCGTACTGCAAGTTTGCTTTTTGGCTCATCTGACTTCACTGTAAAAAAACAGAATGAGAGAAATGAAATAAATGAATAAATAGAACAAACATTTATTAACGTCACCTCCCAGCCCCAGGAATATGGGAATAGGTGAACACAGGATTGTTGGGCGAACAGGGCAAATATGATAAACCATAATCAGTTTTCAGTAATTCATTGAATGTGAAGGGTTGCGTCCATTATCAGTGTATGTTCAATAGAGTTGTCTCCCACGATATGGTACAGAGAACTTCTACACCATTCGAAAGAGGCCACTTATACTAGTGCCATTCACTAGTGTTTTTTTTGTGTGCCATCATTAGATTGTAGCATAATCATTAAGGTTCTTATGTCTTCAAGAAGTAGTAGATGCTGGATATTGAGTCATCCTCGCTAGAAAGCTGAGCAACTTCAAATGAGGTATTGCATGACTCTCCATAATTGCCGATAGCGTGGATACTGAGAAGTGCTTGCAATCGCTAGTCGTGATCCAATCAATTTCTTAAGTACATGTTGGGTTCATGCTAGAGATTATGGAAATTAGACTTTGTAGTAGTCAAACAATCGTAATCACGTTACAATACCATAACTAGTTTTGCCTCAATGAGTTATGTGATTAATTATTTTTGTAGGCTGGTAATTTAGTACTATGTGAAGTGTCATTTAGAGCGAACAAGTTCAAGAGCGTTCGAAGCACTAATTCAGGAAAAAGCAAACAAACAAAGAAACGATGTATGAATGCATAGGGATTGTCGAAAATTGATTGTTATTCCTACAGCTAGTTTTTTTTCTTCAACATGTTTCTGTATCTTTCGAACGTATCTGTATGTTGCCCCTACCTTCATCTTTGGTAAGCTATTGCATGCTACTTTTTGGTTTATTTATTAGCTTTTTATTGATATGAGAAATGAATATTCACAGTTTTCTTTATTGCAAGTGTTACAACCGCTACTTTTTTCTATTCCCTGCTGTACTAGGATGCCTTAGGTATTCTTTCTTATCGGACCTACAACTAGCCTTTGGCTACAGGTCTGATGAGTGTTTGTTATCCGTGTATATAATGAAATAAAAAAATATGTCCCACGTTTCATAGGAGAACAACGTCAGGCTTATGAAGCTTACGCACAATACAGCGGCAAAATAACGACCACTCACGCGTGCACTGCCCATGAAGACCGTTCTCGTAGAAACCAGGTCCACAGAGACAGGCACTAGCTCCCGTTGCTAGGTCGCAGCCACACACAGCGTTCTTTTTGCAGCAACCCGGGTCGTCCTCTTGGCCGCGGTACGGGCTCTTGCAGAGACCTTCGCAGTTCCGTGGGCTGTCCCACGTGGTCCATCGTCGTGTGGCGCCATCTGCATAGCCGTCATGTGATTCACAGTTTCACGAATAAAGTGGGAATTAGGTGTGCTCATCAGCATTCTCAGAGGTGGGTAATATTTACGAAAAACAGGGAAGGCAATCATGCCTTCCATGGACTCGATGTTGCGAAGAAATGCAGGGCGAAAAATTGCCACACGAGAGCTCACTGCGCTTTTTTTCCAACTATGAGAGACACTCTAGCGCAACAAGGTACCCTTCAGAGGTATAATCAATGGACTCGGCGCAGTGCGAGGCGCAAAGCTGTCTTGTCTCGCCTGCTGGAGCGCTGATAGCTGTGATAGCTGGTCTGTTACGGCTATAACCATAGAAGTGACACATGTATAAAAGGGCGTTGCCGCACCCACTGAATCTACAAAACGCGCTGCCACCAAGTCTGCCCTATGCGCTCACTCAATAGGAGCTGTTCGATCATTTTTTGAGATGTTCTGTTATGCTCATACTGCAGGTGTTTGTCAATACTGGTCGCCACTCGCCTCTAATTTTGCTTTTCAAGAACTGTTTCATTCCGAGCTTTGCAACCTATCGGTATTAACGAAGCGAGAATCGGAAGCGCGTTCTGCGCAAATTAAGACCAAGAAATAATCTTTGGATTTTGTCTGGGGTAATAGGGTTCCCTGAAGCACAAGCACTTTCGGCCAGTCAGAGTGAAATGAGGGCCCATCGTACGTCTTTCTCTTCCTCTAGCTGAAACCCCCCCCCCTCTTTCCCAGGAATCGCACTTAAGGCTGTTACATACCGGGTGGGTGTGCAACTATCATATGTATATGAAGACGCGCCATACCCATTCCGAAGTATTTGCCCACTGTCGTACAAAAGGTACAGCCTTATTTTATTCGCTTTAGGATGAGTCCGATGTGTAATCAGCGGCACATTCTTTAGCATGTAATTGCAGAGGCTGGGATCTGTTACTATGAGTGTCTCAGTGACCCAAAAGGTGTAAGAGACAATCACAGCAAATGGCTTTCAATGTTGATTTACAGTGAAGACGCTTAAACTTGAAACGCTGCTCATAAGGCATCAAATCATGCGGCTCATAATGAGCCGCTTCATGCTAAAAGCGTATATGGAGGTCTTTGTCTGTAGAACACGCAGCTGAAGGAGGTGATGATCGCCTGTGTAACGAGAAATTTAGATAGGCTAATTTCTTTGCAATAGGATTGCTCCAGTGAATGATAAACTAAGGGTTGGTTGAACTGATGTTTATCAACCGATGTATTAGTGCCGTTGTTTGCTGAGCGAGTAGTTTCATAACATTGTATGGAATGTTTGTCCAATCGAGTTCTGCATCGTTGTCGTGGTTTAACGCCGCTGTTCTTTCAACCAGTGTACTTGCATTTGAAAGTGCACTAGAAGTACAACTTTCGTAATGGACACAAAGAATTTCACCCGCGCGACATTCATGTGCGCTGAGCATTGGTACCTATCCCACTTTTAATAAAAAGAAAGAAAGCATCAAACATCGTCAGTATGGTTTACAATGCTTACCCTCAGTTAGACGAGCACACTGAGAAGTTGACGCTGCAAGACATGATACCGTATTTACACAGTTACAACCTGCAGCTTTCTTTTATCGAAAGTGCATGCTCGTTAGATCGTTAGATTGGGGCACAGACTTTTCCACTGTATACCGTAGCTGTATCTTCGCTTTTGGTTCATGTAAGTAAGTGCGTGTTGTAATCGGGGAGCGCGATGCGAATTGGATAAATACGGTATTTGTCAGATGGGGCGTTAGGCTTTGGGTTACTTGCCCGGATCGAAGCTTCTACGGAACTCCATGACGGTTTCCCATTCGAACATGTGGTCCGGGGACGACGCCATATCTCCGAGAGCTCGCCTCATGATGCTTGTTCCAATGGCGAATACAAAGAGCTGGACTCCAGCATCCTTTAGATGGTTCGCCTCTGTCACCGGGTCTGGACCCACTGTCGGAAGGCCATCTGTTACTAAGACGGGATGGCACAAGAAAGGAAAAAAAAAAAAACATCATGAACGCCTAGTTACCTTGAGCATTTTTCTCTCTCTTTTTTCTTCGAATACGAGACCTTTCAGTGCGATCGTGCACGTACTTGTGGACAAGCGGCGGCCTCACGCGGTGATCTGATAACGACGAGCGCGCCATGCTCAAATCAGCCAATGACTGTGACTAGAACCGTATTTTCTTTCTTGGCTGTGACAAGTGATTTTTGAGCTTGTAGTGTCAGTTGCCGAGGGAAGAGAGCAGTTTCTAGCTTTGAAAATTCATTGTAAATTTCAGGCCGCGTGCTGTGCTATAAAACTTGGCTTGCGTGTTGTTGGGAGCCTCTACTACCGATCGGCAGCATTTTCTGACCATGCTCAGTAAGTGTTGCAGGGCCACTTTAAATCTGAAGGAGGGCTTTGCGGCCAAGCAATTTCCCTTGAACAAGCGTTTTCACGGTTTTGCATTACTACATTGCAGTGAAACCACTTTACAATGGTATATTTATTCGTTCATTGCGAATACTTCGAAAATATTCGATAATTTAAAATTCGAGTCGAAGCGAATTCGAATACTCACCTATTCGTGCGAATATTCGAAGCATTCGAATATTCGCACAAGCCTATACAAAACGCGATGCCACCAAGTCTGCCCCATGCGCTCACTCAATAGGAGCTCTCCGATCATTTTTTTTAGATGTAGAGTTGTTTTCATACTGCAGGTGATTGTCAATACTGGTCGCCATTCACCTCTAATTTTGCTTTTCAAGAACTGTTTCATTCCAAGCTTTGCAATGTATCGGTATTAACCAAGCAAGAATCGGAAGCGTTTCTGCGCAACTTAAGACCAAGAAATCATCTTTGGATTTTGTCTGGGGCCATGGGGTTCGCTAAAGCACAAGGACTTTCAGCTAATTAGAGTGAAATGAGGGCCCATCGTACGTCTTTCTCTTTTCTAGCTGAAACCCTCCCCTCTCATCCAGGAATATCACTTAAGGCTGTTACACATCGGGTGGGTGTGCAACTATCATATATGAAGACGCGCCATACCCATTCCGCAGTAATTGCCCACTGTCCTACAAATTTAGGTACAGAATTATTTTATTCGCTATAGGATGAGTCTGATGTGTAATCACCGTCTGGCACATTCTTTAGCATGTAATTGCAGAGGTTGGGATCTGTTACTATGAGTGTCTCAGTGACCCAAAAGGTGTAAAAGACAATCACAGCAAACAGCTTTCAATGTTGATTTACATTGATGGCGCTTAAACTCGAAACGCTGCTCATAAGGCATCAAACCATGCGGCTCATAATGATCGGCTTCATGATAAAAGCGTATATGGAGGTCTTTGTCTGTTGAAGACGCAGCTGAAGGAGGCGATGATTGCCTGTGTAACGCGAAATGTAGATAGGCTAATTTCTTTGCAATAGGATTACTCCAGTGAATGATAAACTAAGGTTCAGTTGAACTGATGTTTATCAACCGATGTATTAGTGCCTTTGTTTGCTGAGCGAGTGGTTTCATAACATTGTATTGAATGTTTGTCCAATCAAATTCTTCTGCGTCGTTGTGATGGTTTAACGCCGTTGTCCTTTCAACCAATGTACTTGTATTTGAAAGTGCACTCATGCTGCAATTTTCGTAATGGACACAAAGAATTTCACCCGCATGAGCATCAGTACCTTTCCGACTTTTAATAAGGAGAAATAAAGCATCAAACATCGTCAGTATGGTTCACAATGGTTACCCTCAGCTAGACGAGCACACTGAGAAGTCGACGCCGCAAGACATGCTACCGTATTTACACAGTTACAACGTGCAGCTTTCTTTTGTCGAAAGCGCATGCTTGTTAGATTGTGGCACATACTTTTTCACTGTATGCTGTAGCTGAATTTTTGCTTTTGGTTCCTGTAAGTAAGTGCGTGTTGGAATCGGGGAGCGCGATGCGAATTGAATAAATACGGTATGTGTCGGGTAGGGCGTTAGGCTTTGGGTCACTTGCCCGGGTCGAAGCTTCTAAGGAACTCCATGACGGTTTCACATTCGAACAGGTGGTCTGGGGACGACGCAATATCTGCGAGGGCTCGCCTCATGATGCTTGTTCCAATGGCGAATACGAAGATCTCGACTCCAGCATCCTTTAGGTGGTTCGCCTCTGTCACCGGATCTGGACCCACTGTCGGAAGGCCATCTGTCACTAAGACGAGAACCTGCGCATCGCAATGATTATCCAAGACTGGCACGTGTATACGTTTGCCTTGGTTATACGGTAAGACATTCATCAACATCATCATAATCATCATCATAACAATCAGCAGCGTCACGATGATTTAATTCTATGTGCGCGGCAGGATGAAGGCCTCTCCCAATGGCCTCGAACCGACACAGTGCTCTTGCAAGGGTCCGTAAGGTTTGAGCATTACTCAATGTGGGATGTGCTTCCTGAGCACTTTTTTGGGGCAGGATTAGACTATAGAGCGGCTTATTGAACTTTCCCGCGATAAATTATACGTTGTGTAAGGACATAAGCTTAGCAATAGCATTTAAAGACCTAATGTAATGCAGCGTAATTTGCGTAAAGCAGTAATTGTGAGGTGAACAATAGTATATAACGTTCTTAAGACGTTCACCGTACTACACAAGTTAAGCCGACGCCTTTTAGAAAATTGTCTTAGCGTTTGTATGTTGCGCGCCTCATTTACAAAATAAATGAGAGCTGAATGATTATATCGGTTTACTCCATGAAAATGCAACAGGACACTGTAATCACCTCGCAAGCGTGGTGAATGCGTGCAATTGGTTTGGAACCAAAATCCTGCCATGCGTCAAACAGACTGTCCCTTATAGTGTCTTTCAGTCTGCAAACCCAGACAACAATGCTGTGTGCAATTTTGGCCTCGAACACCGGCCAAGTTCAATGTCCTTTTCCTCCTTTCACGTGCGTCACCATAGCAACGGACATGCGCAGTGGTGATTTGTTCTCCTTTACCCATCACCCATTTTCGTTGGTCCACTGGAGCGACGAGCCGGTGGGCGTGCGCTCAACTTTTGTCAGGTGACTCAACGCCTGCTGTACGAGTCCCCGGACAGCATTCCGGTGCTTTCCGCGCGGGGCGCTGACGGCACATGCTTTCTGTGGTAGTTGCTGCTATCGCTGTGAGCTCGGTTCCATCGCTTTCTACGTCGCAATTTCGTTTCATACTCGAAATGAAACTCTTCTCAGCGTCCGAAAAAAAGTGTAAGTAGACAAGAAAATTTTGACATCACTGTCTCATCTGTTGTCCTTTTCAGATTAGTTCAGCAGTATTCACCGCAACCACACCAGAACAGGTGAATGGGCACCTGGGAAGGACGACTGAAAGCAACACAAATATACGTGACATTTCAGTCCCTATTACTTTTTGCTTTGTTGCTTCTGAAGCACTTCAAGCCTGTGGCTAAAGTTGTAAAGGACCCACTCGAAGTTCGGGGGTATTAGGCAAAAAATAAACACGATATGATTGCGAGGCTCACCATGTATTTGGACACGCTGGCTCAACATTGATGGCCTGGGATAACACTCACTTAAATTTAAGTGAACATGCACAGTTCATCCACATAAATATAAGATCACTGTGACCTATAGTCGAACCCATGGCTTCGAGCTTCGCTGCTTGACGGCGTGGACAATGAGCCGCTGTACTGCTATTCATGTTTAAGGGGCTCACCTTGGCCGCGTGCTCCCGGCTGGTGTGGAATATTTTTCGAACGTCTTGCAGGCCGGCACCCGTGTTGGTGCCATGATAGTCGGCTACGTTGGCTGCGCTTTGCCTGAGCCTCGATAGCTGACACTTGTTTGCAGGCTCCTTGAGGAAGTCGGCATGCACGACTAAGGAAAAAAAAGAAAGAAAGAATTGTGAGAGAGCAGGTGAAAGGAGAGGACGAAGCAAGTGCAAGCGTTGAGGTACGTGCGACCAAAGAATATGCTGGCAACAAGCCTTGCGTCGGTCAAAACGCACAGAAAAATGATATGTCACACATACCCAAACGAGTTTTAACAGGAGATAGTCTCCCAAATCTATAACTATTGTCTACGAGCGATATATTGGATATTTTCTATTTGCTATGGGTGATGTATTTTCGCCATATGACTGAATTAGGTTCCACAAAGGATGAAGACAAGCGAATGCCCACAGAACGTTTTTTTTTCTTTTACAAATTCGTTCCTTCTTATGGCGCTGGCAGACAAAAAATGTGCCGCAGAGCAGGATAGGACATAATTCGCGTGGCTGTACATAAAATTTCCAGGTACCACATCCCTCTTGAATGTTCGTATGTTCTCACATTTGTGTGATGTGCATTCATAAAACATACGGGCAATGTAGGGCGCCTTTTACAACAAGAAAAAAACTTCAGAAAAAATTGTGTCTGATAATACTTTTAAAATCTATCCGTTCAAATATACCAAGGGGCAGACTTTTCCAGCAATTAGGCAGGCATTTGCAGTATGAACAAAATTTACTTCCTCATATTTAAGTATATACGCTAAGGTACACCACTATGGTACACGGTAGAACTAAGAAATAAGGTGAACTGAGAATGCATAATGCATTATCAAATCATAGGATGTCACTCGGTCACGCTGACAAGACCGAACACAAGCATTACTCTAAAGAGGAAACATAAAAAAAACTTCTACAGTGATATAGTGCAAAAAGAAGACTTCCCCCATGTATACATGGCAATCACAAGTACACGAGTTCATGAATGCGTGAAGCCTCGTACAATGGACTGCGATAAGGTGGATCTCCGATGTAGCGCAACAAAAAACAAAAAAAGTTACATAATACCGGGAATGCCACATGTGGTTATATGGCAAGCAGGTATTCAAACTATAAACCCTCTAACGTTTTAATAAGGGATGGAGAATCTTTGGCGTTTGATATATGCTAATACGGTGTTAGTGAGTGAGAAAAATTCAAACACTTTCACAGAGAAAAAAATATAAAGATATAACAACAAAGAGGATAACCTGTTGAAAGTGACAGCACTAAGATCCGGGAAATTAATTATCACGGGAATAAATCAGCCAGAAAAACATTAAGAGGCAGATAATAAAAACATTGGAATATATGTGGTAATGCTTTAGCTATAAAAGCTCTGTGACCATCATACGTATGTAACAAGTTGGTGTTTTTGCGTTTTGCATCTGTTACTCGTCAAATGCTGATTAACTGTTGAAGTGTCTTTTTCTCGTTTGTGTATTTCCATGGAGCAGGTCGTCCACCGTTCGCAAATATTCGCCGCATTCTCGCAAGCACGCCTCTGTCACGTCGCCACCGTGTTGCGATCACCTGGCCTCCGGGCCACTCGGGGCTCGATCGCGGGGAACGAATACGCTTATGAAGCTACCCGAGCTCTCGTCCACCTGGCTCGTCCTTCCACAAAGTACCAACCCTCGCGAACCGATGCGCCTGAGCGAGAGATGATGGTCTCTTCTTTTCGTGATCTTGCGAGGGAGAGAGTGGTTACTTTCGGAGAAATCCTAATGTACAGCCGTATAAAGCCCTACCTAAACACCCACCACCCAACACGTTCCCTTAAGAAACAGCAATTATACTACCCGGCGTTTATTACAGACACACACTTTCTCCTGTCCTTCCCCGTACAGCTGTATTTACTCCGCCGTCCACTCACCCCTATGCAAGGCATGCAGTGCACCTCATGCTTAGCTCGACCATATCCTATGGTACTATCCCGCAGCTACTCATACAATAAAACACAGCAAAAATTCGACATTTAGAATCACCATGGACGAGGAGTGGGAGGCTATGCCTCTCAGCACGTGCTCGGAAGACCATCTCTGGACTGTCCGGCTGGCCGAAGACGACATCAGTAATCAAGGTTAGTCCACCGCCTGAGGAAGGGGAGTTACAGAGGGGACCGGGAGCCACCTTTTAGCCAGGACAGATGCTTTATTATTGTTTCTCGGGCTGACTTCCCCAAGAAGAAAAATCATTAAGACGGTTTTAGTTTTACAATTGTTCCACAATCGGATCTGCATGTTCTACTTGAAATTTAAAAACCAGGTCTTTGTTTTCTTCATGCAGCGCTTCAGACAGGATGCAGTATATACCAGTTAGATAATTGCATATTTTTTTTCCTTTTACATGCTTCCACTTTGCGTTCTTGAACGCATGAGAAAGTCGCACTGTTTAACTGCACTTCAAACGCCATACGGTGTCTGCGTTGGTATCACAGTGTAAGATACAAATCTCACACCGTGCTCGGTATACAATACTGTTTGCGCACAGCCATCGCTTTCCACAGCGTTACGAGACGCACGCCTGACAGAACTGAACATGCACAGACGGCCCACCCTCGTAGCTTTTTTCCCTCATTGCCTAGAACACTTGTCTTGTTTGCTAGTCAAAAGTGGTCATTGCAACACTTGTGCAAAAAAAATATAAAAAATAACGTGCGGTACCCACCAGCCGTGTCACTGAATGAGACGATCGCGACTCTCGTGGCATTGGCCATCACGTCGAAGTGACTGACGAACCTGTCCACGAACGTCAGCTCTGTCTCGAAGCCCGCGTGGCCCACACTCCCGGATCGGTCAAGGAAGATGACCAGGTCCGTACCGGTGGTGTTCATCCTTGCCCAAGGAAAGTGAGAGGCATGGGAGTGGTCCACGTCGTCCTCCTTTAACTTAGTGGGAGGGAGGAAGATAAGTGCGCGAGTAGGAATCTAAGCATACCCGAACCAGAAAAAAATGCCCCCACCTTCTCGAAGGGAATCGTAAAGAAATGTGAATGCATTGCGTAGCGTCCATAACGGCGTATCGCTCGTGAAAACACGGCGTTAGAAGAATAATGTTTTCTTTTTTTTCTCACACTGTGTGGCCAATAGCACCATGCGCCACACGTGGCGTTTTTCTGTCGTGAGAAATGCGAAATTCATTAACAGCTCTAGTAGCTTGCGCGCACAGTTAAATTAACACAAACGCTACACAAACGCTACAAACGCATTTCACACAATGCATTGAGGCGGTGGCTAGTCACGTTCAGTCAAGAAGGTGGGGGCTCTGGTTGCTATACTCGGTGACAACTTTTGTTGGTATTAGAGCGAAGGCTACAGAGCCAAATCGCGTGCATCCTACTGGCGGTGAAAGTAGTTCCACAATAGAGCCCGTATTTTCAACGTGAAATATAGAAATTCCTCCGTTTTTTTCTTCGTGGAGCTATAGGCACCGTTCAGTCGAGTTTTCCCGTCTGACTGCAGCGCCAGAATGCATAGCCTAGCGGATAAAAAAAGAAACCTTGAGATGGCATCGGTAAAATCAGAACGCCACGCGGGCATCTCGCGCCCTGCATCTGTCAGCGAATTGTGCCCGGGATACATTGGGCACACGAGCACGCGTCTCTTTTCTGCGTGCCCCTAACGGCGAATGTCCGAAACTTCGAGATGGGGCAGTGTGAGCAACGCAGTTCCCTCTAGTCAGTGTGCTGTGCCTATTTCAGACTGAACGCAACTCACAGCAGTAATATATTCGTATTTGTTTTAATTTACTTGTTGCCACTTCCCCTTTTGGCGCGCGCGAGAAATTCCCACCTTTTTACGTGTAGCTCAGACGCTAAGCGGTATCTGCGTCTACATGAAACGCTGTCGGTGCTCCCCTATCACTTTCCGTAGCGTTTCTAGAAGCACGCCACATCAGACTAGTTTGCGTAGTGCTACATGTGCCGAAGCTTTGCGCCCTAGGCTTCCCCTTTAGCGCCAAGAAAAGTTGTCACGGAGTGTACGGGCGAGGATAAGCGTGCGCGCCCGCAGCTGTGGCTATGGGAGAGGGCGGTGGACAATCCCGACGGACGCCTGACATAGCCCGACAAAGAAATACATTCGCACTTAACGAAATACAAAAAAACAACTAAAACAGCACGAATATGACGGAGAGTACGCAGAAAAAGATAACTTGGCTGGTGTCTCCGTCATAGGAATCGGTGTAACACGAAAGTGAAACTTGTCTTCACAGATGCAGTTGGTTCTTTACTGTGCATTGATATATTGAGAGCTAGTACAATGTCTAGACGTGTCGCTTGATGTGGACCCACCCACGTAGGCACCTAGCGGCGCGTCTTCCTTCCAACGACTGAAGCCCATGATCATTATTAAACAAGTGCGGTAGCTGAAGTAGTTAACATATACTTGCACACCACACATGCATGGTGAATCTACGGAAAGATGGCAGCAACAAGCACAATATGAACTCTGGTACTCGGTGTGCACTCCTTCAAAGCGTCGTGAAACGCGAGGCGAAACACAACGCGCGTCGTTCGTTCCCTCTAACCTGGCCGTGATTTCACGCAAGGCTAACGCGGAACGTGTTGTGACAGCCAGGCATAGCCGAGCGAGTGGCGGAGAGCAATATTTAAATGTGGATGAATGGTATGATTGTGGCTTCTTAGTTTAGCATGGCTTGGGCTTAAGCCACCTCCTCACGGTATGTCATTGTTTTTTTTTGTTTTTGCATCAGGAAGGCGTACAACCCTACTGAAACGTTCCGTATGAAATCTTACGGAAAATATATAGACTCCGTAACATTTCCTTCAGCTACAAACGGAAAAAATATATAGTTTAATGGAAATATACGGAAGTTGTATGGCATATACGGAACGCTTCTTATGGAGTATATGGAACGATAAGGAAATTTCATGGCGTATACGGAAAGGTTTTTATGCAGTGTACGGAAAGATAAGGAAAATGTATGGCAAATATGGAAAGCTTTTTATGGAGTATATGGAAGGATAAGTAAGTTTTATGGCGTGGATGAAGTGAGTTTTATGGAAAATATGGAATGATAAGGAAATTTATGGAGCATATGGAGAGTTCATCATAGAAGATATGGAAGGATAAGTAAAGTGTATGGAGTGTACTGAAGCTTTCATAAGGAAAATGCGGAACGTAGGTCTTACGGAAATATACAGATTTTGTAAGGTGCTTATGACAATGTGCAATAGTGTATGAAAGGCATGTGGATTGTTGCAAAAATGTGAAAAATCTACATTTGTTGTCACATTTTGAGCAGAAAATCTGAGCTCTGTATAGTTATAAATGAATGCACACTGACATATATAATACAAAAGAATAACACAGGCAAGTCTGTGTTGTCAGTCACCGCTGTTCGTCCCTTTCCAGAATGAATACAACTTCTGCAGATGACCAGGTGCTAAAGGCTGTCACACGGATGTGTCATTCACAAGGAATGACAATAACTGTCATTTTACTTGCATGCTGTCACACGCAAACAAATCAAGCAACGAAAGCATAACTTCCAAGGCTCGTTTTTTTGGTAGAAAGAATATTATTGAAACTAAATTCAATGCGAATGAACTTGTCAATATTAATGAAACTGTCCTCATTACTATTGGCAAAGAGAAATGTCATTATAAAGTATCGACCATGAGCTTAGCCCTCCTGAGCACCGACAAAGAAATGAAAATCTATAAAAACTTATTGCATGTAGCCTGAAGATTATTTTTTATTGATAGAATGTGCTCCTACAATATAAATACAGCTAAACACAATTTGCTACAGCTTCACGACAGAAACGAGGTAGTGGTAGAGAGAGTGGTCAGAAAAATAATTAAGTGTGAGAGCACAACTGATATGTACGGACACATAATGGTGCTCATCATTGATGCTCGGATAGTCGTGTATAGAGCTGGGTCGTTTTGAGATTTTCAAAAGCATTATTTCATACCACCATGCAGATTACGCTTCAATTGTAGTGCTACATAAGACACAACTTATGGGCCAGTTTCAATGAATAAGAAGAATATAGGTGAAACAAATGCTTTAAAATATATCATGGCTGCATCGACACATACAAGCTTTGTAAAGCGCAATAAAGTGAGGACGCATGAGCTTCTCTTGATGCTTCAGTTCTACATAGATGCTTCAACTGTGCTGCAAAGAAATTTAACCAATGTCTGTGTGTGCAACATTGTCCATTTCAAACTATATATATGTATATATAAAATTCTTACTGCGAGTTAAGCTACTTAGCACTTCATAACTCTTCCTTTTATTAAGGGCATTTTTTCAAAAAATGAACATTATTCATTTTCTGTCTCATGACTTTGTGCCCGCAATTCTTGGTTTGGCTCGATCACAATTGTGCAGCCCTTATTTTGGAGGAATCAAAAAATATCAACCAAAATATATTTTGGAACTGCTTCTCGGTGATATTGCCTCCCTCAACTGCCACAGCTTGCGATGAGTCGTATAGCAAGTCTCGTGCATACCTAGGGCCTATCCTTGAAGAAGCTTGTCCGGCTGTGAAATGCTCAGTTTTTTTCTCAAATAAATTTTTTGGTTTGAGTTTTCTCTCTTCTCGAGTCGCTTCACAATCAAGCAGACCCATTGTTTCCCTTAGTCTTTAATTTTGTTTTATTATGAAATAAATGAAAAATATAATAATAAAAAATTTTAAAAATACTAATAACTGTTGCGCAAAAAACACAGTCCCCCATGCTACTTGAACGCAATATTGCTTTTATTTTGTTTTAGTACCTAACGCATTAGAAAAGATAGCAGTACAGAAAAAACATTGAAAAAAAACTAAAACAGATTGAGACATAGCGGGATTTGAACCTGCGCCGCTCAGTTGTGCTCGCGTACGTGAACTGAGTGTTTTAACTTGCTAAGCTATTCGCACTAGGCAGTCTGCGCGCGTTTAAAATACATATATATATCTGCTGTTTACAAGCTATGTGTTGGCATATTTATGTACGATATGCGATTGTATCTATTGTTGTGTGCATATGTTTTGTGATTGTATATACGCCACATGCTTTTCGCATGCCTTTCATCTATAGATTGCCACCCCTTCGCGGATGAAAACAAGTATTTTTACGCCCACACACAAGCTTGAGCAGTTGATGGTTGTTTCCCGGGGCTCTCTTGTGATTGAGTTGGCCACCACAGGAAATTAGAGTGATACGCCATTAATCCCTGCATCCAGCTGTATTCCACTTAGTAGCTCTCTCGCTTGATGACAAATCGAGCGCGGGGCGCGACGCTATTGCGCACGACCATGCCTCGCGTAGCGCCGACATCAGTTGACTGCGCCGGCCGGCTGTCTTCGATTTCCTTCAGAGCAAAGAAATGTCATACCTTGAAAGATTGCGTACTGCACTATGTCAAAATGTTACTGCTTTGTAGTCATCCTATGATTCATTGAGAATTGATAACTCTGATATGACTGCTATAGAGCTTTGCGTCGGCGACACGAACCGAACGTAAAACCGCACTACGTCTGTCGTAAAAGCAGTAGGAGGCTGTCGTCTTCTAGAACAAAAATAAAACAAAGACCTGCAAAAGTATTTATAATGTATTATATTATTTATTATGTACCTTGTATTTTGAATAACCGTTTATTACTTTTAAAGTTATTATTTTAAAGTTATCTAAGTCAAATCTATTCACAGCTCAAGCCACATGTTGTTTGTCTTCTTTGTTTCCGTGGGCATGCCATTTCGATGCGTCTCTCATGTGTTCGCGCTGCTACACACGAGAGCACGAAATGTTAAATTTACGCAAGGAAGCGCCGTTCCTCGTTCGTATGATGTGCTAAGATTGCACCCTATTCCCGC